TGATATATATATATATATATATATATATATATATATATATATATATATATATATATATACTGATTAAAATTTATATCAATTATACAAATAAAGACAAATTATTTTGATGACATAACTATGATCAATTGCAGGAAGCAAGCTGTACCACCCGATGTAATACTACGAAGAGAAAGAAAATGGATACAGATGTTGAACAACTGGAACATTTTCATGACTACCAATTATCGCAAGGTTCGTGAGAGATGCCGCAAAGGTATACCGCCTTCCGTAAGACTGCGCGCTTGGTTAAACCTCTGTGGCGGTCAACTGTTGATGAATGAGAACCCGAATCTATATGAAGAACTCATTAAGAGGTCTGGCGACCCGAAGTATATAGAAGACATCAAGAAGGATCTTCATCGTCAGTTCCCTCACCATGAAATGTTTGTCGAGAATGCACCCGGCCAGCAGGAACTATTCCAAGTGCTGAAGGCATATTCCATTTTGAACAGCAAAGTGGGCTACTGCCAAGCCCAAGCGCCCATCGCTGCGTTCCTGCTGATGCACATGCCAGCGGTACAAGCGTTCTGGTGCCTTGTAGCGATATGCGACAAGTATCTCGTCGGTTACTACAGTCAAGGCATGGAAACATTGCTGCGCGACGGGGATATTCTGTTCGCCCTTCTGAAGAGAGTCTCGCCCGTTGCATACAAACATCTAGTTAGTACAAACGAATGTAATTATTGCAGTGCAATTGAATCTCGCTCATTCTAGATATCTTCACATTTTATGTCGAAACGCTTTATTGTAATCTTACTGTCTCGTTTAGATAAATATCATTATATATATATATAATTGTAATATCAGTAAATAGTTTTTGTTTCTCGAGAAAACAAGAATTTCGGAATAGTCTTTTTTCAGTGGTTTTACGGAAATGAGTGTCAAATCTAATTATATCATCGTATACTAATTAAGCAATTTAGTAAAAATATTTATATTGCTGTTTACTGTTTCAGAAAAAACAAAAAATGGATCCGATCTTGTACATGACCGAATGGTTCTTGTGCGTTTACACACGAACGTTACCGTGGGAAAGTATTTTGCGTGTATGGGACATGTTTCTTTGCGAAGGCGTGAAAGTTATCTTCAAAGTCGGTCTCGTATTATTGAAAAGTAGTTTGGGTCGTTCGTCGCTTACCAAACGTTGTCCAACGACATACGAAACTCTCCAAGTTCTAAGAAATCCACCTCAGCATATCATGGAGGAAGAGGCGTTGGTTTATCAGGTAAACATATCTTCTAACCTAGATATAATTAGCACACAGTAGAGATGTATAGTAAAATGTGTAACTTAAAAAATTAACAAAGTTGAGAATTAAATTAATATTTTTATTAAATTTAATATATGATATAATTAAAAGTTCTTATACATTCCGAAATTATACAGCGATTTTCATTAAAGTTGTAGTAATAGATAACAATTTTGTTTGTACACAACAATGTACTGTGCAAATAGTAAGCTGTAGTTAATGTAGTTAGACAGAAATATGGAGCAAGTTATTTCAATTCAATGCTGCGGATTTAAAAATTGAGATTAAACAACGAGGGTTTTAAGTACAAATTTAAAAAATTGAATTAAATTAATATTGTAATTAAATCTGATCTGTGATTTAATTGAATATCATAAAAATTTCACATATTTTAAAGTTATATAAAAAGAATTATCATTAAATTAAGATTGTAGTAAAAGATGACAATGTTGATTTAATAAAAATTTTGCATATACACAAATAATCCGTTTATACATACTTGTAATTCGATATTGCAGATCCAGAGGTTGAATTTGAGCGAGGAAGATTTCGAGTACGAACATCAAAGACAACTATTGAGAAGGAAGGCGGCGGATCAAGCGGCTCTTTCTACTGCCAATCGAACTGACTGACGATTAAATAATTAGACAGAAACATGGAGCGAATTATACCCTTATACGTATACTGTCCCAAAGTGTGCCTTCCCTTTCGTTCTTCTGACACTGCGTAGATCCTACAATTTAAACGTTCACAGTTGTCTCGCGCTACAGAGATGGAAGATCTAACGAAAAAACGTGTAGGTACGTACACTTGCAAGCTAGAAAAAGTAGTTTTCGTACACCTCGCGCACACATACTCACATACGTACACATCCACATTCCTTGAGCAGTAGGAGTACATTATTTATCTCAACTTCCTTTATTACAATATAGTACGCGTACTATAAGAGAAAGCACAATATTTATAGACTTATAGTACTATTTAACGGTATTTTCTCATCGATATATTTCTAGTTAGCGATAATGACCCTCGTGGCTACATTATCGATATTTATGTACAAAAATTTATCGCATTTTTAAATAAAATATAATATATGATAATGTTACTACAAATAAATATTATCTTTCGTTAACGTCGATCTCTTGTATTAATCCTTATTGATCGCGTTTGGATGTAACGTAACTGAACGGAGTCCAGACACTCTTCCCTCTCGTACTCATTTTTATATCCGTTATAGTACACGTATACTTAAATTCCCGACGCAATATTAGTATACTTCAGCTTCTTTTCATCTTACAATATCACTTATTTATTATATACATCGAATGTCTTTTATTGCGCGTAATTTCTCTTTCCTGCGGTTGGTCGTAAAATATTATTTTCTCATGAATTTTAACGTATGCATTAATTCGCAGATATTTTCTGACACTAGCGTAAAAATGCAGGGTATAATATTGATTTTGCACATTGTCATGTACGAGAGCTAGCTGTGTTAAAGTTCTCCAATATGTTACGTTTGTCTATGGCATTCGTTACGAAGGCAGTCAAACGCTGGAAATCGTCGTCGGCTACGCGCGCGTTAAAAAGCTCGAAATGTGGCAGTTTCGGCAGGAAGAGCACGCCCATCATGAACAGAAGCGCCATGCTGATGAAGGTGCCGATTGCTACAAAGAGCGGATTCGTGAGCTGCTTTTGAGTGTTTTCCGGGTTCTCTATGTTTTCCGTAGCCGCGTATATTGGACCAATCTGCGAAAAAGAACACCAAATTTCCGTTTATGCGATCTCTACATTTCAAACTTCATACTCTATAGAAGTTTCATTTGATGTAGTAACGAGTTTAGAATATTATAAGAGGTAAAACGACTTTCACTCGATTTTTTCCTTTACAATTGCATTTTATATAAATATATTTGTATAAAAATAACAAGATTAAATATGAATTTCAAATAAATTTCTATAACATCACGTTTGCACACAGTGAGATTTCCTCTTTTCAGTAGTGTTTCTAAAATGCTTGTGTTTCTAAATGCTAGTGTATTTAAAATGCTTCTTAATTCTTTCAGTTTCTCAAATTGCTCAAAGAATCTCACTACGTGCAGAGCAAAATCGCGGAGAATCTGTGGCGATCGTACGTGTCGATATTTTTCAACACGCGTCGAAAGGTGCATCGATATCGCGCGGATTCCGCACGACATCCTCATGGCGCACACTGTATGCTTTTTTGCATAGGATCCGTTGCGCCAAGAAAAAATCGTAGCTCGCAACTAACGGACGGCGCAGCAACGGGTTTTACGTGGTGAGTAAACGAGAAATGGAAATAATCCAGACGGTAACTTACTCGATAAATTACGGTAAATTACTCGTAAATTTTGGAAAGCTGGTAAAATAGTAATTTAGAAAAAATTACAAAAAAATTTTAGTATAAAACTTCAAAGTATTATCTAGCTTTTAGGATGATTAAGACACTTTATTTAACTCATATTTTTCTAAGATACTTATAAAGATAAGATACTTTGATACTGATATACTATATATTACATATTACATATAGTAGAGAGAGAGTTAGAAAACTAGATACATAATAACTAAATACTATATACATAATAACTAAAAAAAAATTTTTTAAGTTTCAATCTATATTTTTTATCTTACAAGTTTAAAACATTTTCATTTATTACTTGCTCGTTTCAGCAACTAAATTATGGCATATATATAATTGAAAATTTTTAATAGTATTTAAAAAAATAAGAACTTTAGTATTCTCGAAGGATTGTATAAATAGTTTCCTTTCTTTCATCTGAGAGACATTTCAGAGATTATCAGATGTACACTTGATAAGAATATAAGAAGAATGTTGTTTTAACTTATATATTAGTGCGGAAAACATGAATGTTTATGCATGGAACTATCAAAAGCAATGAATTTTGTCAAAAATTACCACCTTATCATAATCTTAGTAAGCTTTGAATCTGTGACTGTAATTTTATATCTCTTAAACGAGACTGTCGCTTACCATGGCGGCCTGGTGATCTCTCTGCAACTCGGACGCGAAGTTCTTCAGCGGGAAGAAGTAGTAGTTGTACATCGGGTATTTAAGCGGCAGTCGCAGGTGAGTGCTGACTTGCGGTGCGTTGCCTCCGCCCGCGGCGTTCAACGCTTGTGCCAACGACGACAGGCTGATCGCTGACCCTCTTTCCAGGGCTTTCTTATACAATGCCGCGAGTTCCGCTCGTGTAAACGACAACGGCTGCTGCGGCTGCTGTTGCTGTTGCACCTTGGGATAATTCGCGGCGGCGGCAGCGGCAGCGGCGGCGGCGGCGGCAGCGGAAGCGGCGGCAGCGGAAGCGGCGGCTGGTGGCTCGCGTACCTGCAAAGTTTTTCCTGTTTATTATTTTCTCCTACTTGTTACGTATACTTGGTCAATCGAAAAGTTTATTTTTCGAATTTATTAACACTACAACATGTATTATCGATATGGCTTGATGTTACATTATGTAATGTCAATACATGAAGAGAATTTTATAGTAAAAAGAACTATAAAGTCTTAATAATACAGCAATACACAGTAGATCAACATTCTGCAATAATTGACTATTCTTTAATTTCGTACTTATATGCTATTTATATTTTAGGAACTGAAGTGCTATTAAAAATATGTGCTGTGTTCTTAGAGAAATTGCGATGTTTCTTAGCAAGATGGATCTTGCCGACATTTTGTTCCTGCACTATTAGAAACACAGTAAAGTTCAGAAGAATTTATATGAAAAAAAGACTAATATTTTCTGCGTGTAGAGATACAATTTGATATTATATCAGTGTTACAATTGCGCATTCCACTACAACGATGTAACTGTTCCATACAACACATGTTGTATTACATTTAAGTTGTTGAGTAGAAAATTATTCTTATAAATAATATATATATTATAATATATTATTATATATTATTGAGTAGAACATTCGTATAGTATCGCTGTTGGTTGATGTTTAGCTTGGGTAGCTCGAGTTATCGCGGAATATCGATCTTTTTTTGATGCAAAAGGTTCGCCAAATGAAATAGAAAACAATATTATCCAATCTTAAGGAATTGATAATCTTTATGAATAAAATAGACAACATTGGTATTATTTTCGACATTTAAAGGAGACTTCCCTTTTCCTTTTGATACCTAAACTTCCTGCATAAATTTCATAGAAGACAAATCTCTCGCACCAATCTTAATACTTTTGTCCATCAGATTCCGTCGTGTATTACATACCGCGTAATATTGAGCTATATTGTTCGAGGCTGACTGAGCTACATCCGCGTGTTCGACAGGTAGACTCGCAGTGGACTTCTGTATATTCGGATGGGAGTGTTGATAGGCATTGTTGGTGCTGAGTTTGCGATACGTATTGTACTGAGCGCGATCGTTCTGATAACCCGCGTGGTAATCGAGGTTCATCGACAGGCGATCGTGCATCGCCAAGTTGGACGGCACATTTAATTCCTGAAGCTCGATCATCGCTTTCTGAAGATACTCGCCGCTCGACTCGGCGCCGCATGAACGAGCGCTAGCGATGATTAATGACATTAACACGAGGAGTCGCGACGGCTCGTCTCTTCCCCTCGATTTCCGCGATGAATTCATGTCGAGTCGCTTTTGTGGACCATTAACATCTGCCGAAGAGAAAGATCATTTGTCACTTAGATTGTTGATCGTTAACTTTGATCTCTGTCGGTCGCAACATTATTTCCCAGTCTGAATGTCGATATTCGCGAAGTGTGTTTGAGTAATATTATGCGAAAAATCGGAATATCGTTATTTGCAAAATATATTCAAGTAATACTATAATGTTACTTAAAAGTACACAGAGTTTTGTGTGTTTTGTTACGATTTTAATTAACAGATCTGTGTGTATCGAGCTGTTTATGCAGTTTTCTCAATCTCTTTGAGTTTCAGCAGTCTAGATAAATGCCACAGCATGCATGATATTCGAGTACTGCGAATAATCGATTGCTTGAGATGCTTTATTGAAGTAGACGGACTATTTTCAATGTTTGCGTCTGCTATCGTACACAAAGTGTTGCAAATGCTATTCTCTTATTAGTATTTCTTTACTAGAAGAAGAATTACTAGAAGAAGATATTTCTTTTGGTAAGAAGAAATCTCTAAGAAGTCTTACGTATTTGTTAACAAATCTTGTAGCACCCGTGACGCTGACAACGCAGTCAAGACACATTTTCACTGCGGAGGATTACACTTTATATTCGATAAATTGCACCGTTGAGTCACTTGACATCCTTTACAAGGCTCAGCCTTGAATGCAGGCGAACATACTTCTTAATTTACTGTATGTCCGCATTCTCGCGCATAGTGTGTTAAATTTTATTCACTTTGTAGAATCGTGTTTATAAGATGCCGTCGGAGACGTTATTCTTCTTCTTCTTTACTCTCATGATATCTCTCTGATTACTTGATATAATTTCTAATTGGAGATGATTCTAATTGGAGTTGATAATTTCTAATTGGAGTTAGATTCGTACAGAACACATTGCGGATTGACGTTACATCGACAGCAAGCGAATCATTCGTTAACAGTTACACGTTTATATCTTTCATGCCGTTATAATTCCCGAAGACAACACGAAGGCGAGAACGAAACTTCTCCTGAACGGGGGAGCAACGACACATCGTCGGAATTAATTTACAATTCATTCACACCGACAAACGAGACGAGCCGCGCGTGCTCCGGCATGCGTGTACATAGCCGCCCCTGATAATCAAAGGGTTAAATAAATCGACCCGTGTCACACAGTTCGCAAGCGCGCACGACAAGCCGCGTCTGCTGTCGCGAAGGGATACGTTGCGATCGGATCGAAGACGCGGAAAACTCGCGTGCCCGATCGAGGTGAATCGCCGAGCGGGTTTACGGAGGTACTACCGTGAATGGACTGAATTAGCTTCCTTCATCGGTGTGCACATTCCCCACCATATATATTCGGCGAATTCCCGCGATCGTAATCGTCCAGGCGAATGCGGATACTACAGCGATGTGAAAATTATTAGAATAATTTTCATTTCTTTATTAATTTTCTTTAATTATTTTTTCCAATAAATGTCTGAATTCAGGAAATATTATTACCGATATTCTCCTTATACGTTCAAAATGATCATAGATTTGTGTTACATATTGTGGGACTAAATTATATAAATTATAATAATAAATAATATGTATGTATATATATATTTATATGATTTATTGTTATAATTTCCTATACATGTAATTCTCTTTATTCATAATAATTAAGATATATGCATTACAGCATGGACATTCTTTATTAAAAACATAACTTATTCACGGAGACAATCTTATCTAACAATTTATACATAATTTTGTATTCTATGTTTACAATGATTACCAAAGTGATATTACGATTCTACACGGGAACTTCAAAAGTTTTTCAGAGAGCAACAATAAATTACAATTTATTATAATTACAATTTCTCATAGATACTTAAATACTTATTACGATAAGACACATCGTTGCTCTCAAAGTCTCTGTATGGTCTGTGGGAACTAAACATATTTTCGCCATGATATACAAGCTTTGAAGATGAAAATAGAATTTTTTTTATTTTATTTACGTTTTGATTGGCTTGAAGTTTCGACTTTGCGGTTAAAAGCAACGGACAATCTTGATTCTTTATTTTTAAAATCGTGTTCTCCAATTTTTCCCAATCACTGAGATTTGTTTGAAATCCTACAATTAAATATGGTCGCGTATACTTCTTACTGTTCGCATAATCATAATATAACATGCGATGAGTTTCAAAATTAAAGGTTTTGTGTTTTATACATCTCTCAGGACAGACTTCGATATTATTATAATCTGTACACAATACCGGTCCTATTAAAATAATTTTCAGATGGTTTATCTTAGGCAAAAGATGTAGGAGAAGTTCCCAAGCTGCCAAATATTCTCTGTCGACGAAATTTGCAGCTATTATATGAATAACATAACACGAATATGGATAAAGAAAATGTATTTTCTGCATCCCATAGTATGTGGTCAGCGGTCCTGACACGTAATCAGAATAAAAATAAGCTAGAACATTCTTGCTAAAGATACCGTTGATATATTGTTTCGGACAAACATATTGTTCAATAAATGTATCCATGTTGACAACAGGCTTATCCTCATTGGGAAACTCGACGAATTTCATCTTATTATTTGAAAAGAACGCTAGTTCGAAATCTATCTGGAAACACAACATCAGCTCGCTGCAACTGTGATGTTTCCCCAAGCGATCAATATGCTTAGGGCAATAGTTGACGGAATAGCACCTCTTGCAAGTGTGGATGTTCATCTGTTTATGACAAATAAAACACGATTTTGTCAACGTGATCATTTGCACTTCGTACGGCTTCAAGTCACGTTGCAATTGTAGACTGATTAAATTTAGAAATTCTTTTCTCATCTCGATCCATTGCTCCAAGTATAATTTTAAATGTATCCAGAATTTTGAATGGCTTTTAAAGAGCTTTCGCAAAACCTCGCAGATCTGCATATGAGACGCATAGTCACGCAGTCTGTGATCCATGTTACAGTAAGTGATCATGAAGCAATCATCACACGTCATGAATTTGCCATTATCCTTCTTCTTACAATAGTGACACACATTCGGATAGAAGAAGTTGTTATAGGAAGGATACTTATTATAAAAAGGAAAATCTTCATAAAATTTCTCCAGTTGATGCGACGCGTACATGTCGATACTTGAGCGTGATCGCTGATATGTGTGTGTGTATGTTGTTTGTAACACTAATTTAGAAGTAATGCACGCGGAATCTCTTAGCGGAAATAACAAAATTCTCTATGTACAGTTCAGATATACACTTAACGACTATTCAGAGAACACTAATAGAATATTTACAAATTTTTCTGCGTGTCTCAGGAATTGTTGACAGACTCAATTGTATCGGAATGTATTACGAATTATTTATATCACGAGTTATCAACGTATTATCAACGTATTACAATTATTAACAATTATAATTTAATAAATAATGATCATAATTAATAATAATCATAATAAGTTGAAATAAATTATATTATTTAGTTCATTATAATGAGTGATTAATTATGATTATTAACAAGTATTTCAGGAAATACCTTAAAATGTTTCAAATTGTCCCTTTCCCTGAGTAAAAATAATTTATTCGTTACCGTTAATAATATATATGTGTTCTTGTAAAAGTGAATAATGCATGAAGCCAAATCCCTCGAATTTCGATTCGAGTCTGTTCGCGATAACAATCCCTTCGCCGGCCTACTTGTGAATCGTATTCCGGTGTCGTCAGTATTTTATTCGGCACGATGTAACGCGTGGGTAATGTAACGGATGTACTCGAAACCCCCGGGACCTAAATCGTATGATCCGTGACGGTCCACATTCGGCGGTCGTCATTCAGCAATGCCCAATAATAAGTGTAATTTCTTTTATAAAATCTATATTGTCCACGTGAGATCCGTTCGATTGTTGAGTCTGAAACATTTACTATATGGATACTATTTACTATAAGGATTTAGCTATATTTTTTCAACATCAATCCGTCTACCGGGACCTCATACCGATTATGACCGGCGAGAGTCTCTCATTAGAGGATCGTTTTTTTGACGTCTGTTGCGACACAAATGAACTTCGCGGAATTTAAGAGAAATTAGCTCTTCTCTCTTAATATCTTGTTCGGGCTTCTGGCTACTCGTCGCGAAACTCTTGATTGATGGCGTCAGAAGTGAGAAAACACATGTTCAAAATTATAGAAAAATTAAAAAATATATCCATAAGGTGTATGAAATAACTCAAACACTTTTGTCTTGTTCTAGCTATCAACAAATATCTGTAACATGAAATCCTTACAGAGATATCACATATTCCTGAAACGTTTTTAAAATGTTTTTTAAGATTTATGCTCTAAAAGGAGATACTGAATATAGTACATTTAGTGTATTATATTTTGTGCTGTTGCTCACAGCACAACGTGTTTAAAATATGCTTGATTTATATTAGTACGCCATAATTTTAATAAAATTATTTGCTTCTTATTAGTACAATGATTCCGGATCAATTGCGTTCTCTCTCATTATCACCTGAAAGTAAAAAGATATAAGTAAGACTTCTATTTACTGTCTCTTAATATTTTGATCATGAAATAGGAAGTAAAGTAGAATCTTCGTTTTTTCAGAATAACGTCCTGTGAGAAGTTTCACAAGATTCCTACGATAAACCTAATTAAAAAAAATAAAAAGGTCGATTGAAAGATAGATTAATAATTTTTGTCAGATTACGAATTGCTCCGAAAGTCTCGGTATCTCGACCTCCAAATTCACCTCACAATTCAAATATAATTCTTGTTAGAATTAGAACAGAAATTTCGAGACAATTAGTTTCTAGTTTGTTGCCCGACAGGTATGAGCACGTCCCAGACGTTCAATTACGTACGTTGTAGTGATACAAGGATGCGGAGAGTGCAATTAATTAAGGCCACACACACAGAGGAAGGGGGGGATTCGCTTAATTTTGCGGAGAAAGGAGATCCTCCAGGCGTCTCGCCAACCTCGTTGCAACGCGAGCCGACGGGCGAATTTACTTTTGGAATTTCCGAATGTATTCCGGAGGCGAACCCGATTCGCCCGGCGAATCCTCATCGGCCGTGTCGAACTGCTAGTCGCACCTCGCTGCGCCAGGTAAACGGAAATCGTCTCCTTGTATATAGCGTGATCAATGAAGTCAAGAGAGGACCTAGAAACTAAAATAATTTCGGCATAATAATGATAATAAAAATAATGATGACAACTACAACGTTATAATTATCATTCATAATTAATGTTATATTTATTATCATTATTGGCAAAAGGTTGTTGCAAAAGGTACGTTGTGTTTGTTAAATAAAGTATAGTAAACGAAATAATACAATTTCGAAGGATTAATCATTCTGACGAATAAAATGGATGAGACATTGGCACGATATTTCTTCAAACATTTAAGATCTTTTGTCGCGGAACTTTTCACTGATGACGCCAGAAGTGAAAAAAACGCATGCCCAAAATTCTCGCGTGTCTTTCTGACTAAAAGGATATTTATGTGAAAGAAGACTTAAGAGCGCTTGAGGGTACTTGGAAAATAATTTAATAAAAGAATGATAAATCTACGCCAACCGAGAGAATATATAATGATTTATAATAATAATATTAATAATAATTTTATTATTTAGCATCTGATATCGTAGGCGGAAGAAAGTATACCTTGACGCTTCTTGAGCGTCGCTTTTTTGTCATTTATTTACGTTCGTTTGCTTCGTTGAATTCCGGACTCGACTCGAGATATTCCTGTTTCGACATCTGCGATTGCTTTATTTTTATATGCGATTGCTTGATTTTTATTTGTCGCGAAGATGAAAAAGAATCGTAGGTAGGAAGCACCGACGACAAAACGTTACGTTGCGGAATCGCGGTTCGCCGATCGACCGATGCGGGCCGTTAGACGACAGCCATCCGTTGTTTAGCTGTAATTATTATTGTTAAGAAGAATCTTCCGCCTCTTTGCATGAACTAGAAATCGCGACTCGCTTGCTGCACGAATGCAATACACGGGGAGAGGAGAGGAGGGTTGCCTTCTCTATTTCTTTTCCATAAGTGATTACACATGCAATCCCATTGGCTTTATTATAATTATTAACAAGTATTTCAGAAAATCCTGCGAAATCCGAATACCGACCCAATAAGCAAAAATTATTAATAAAACGTTATTGCAACGATGTTTAGTAACATGTTTTCTAATACGCAGTTTTTAACGTTTATCGCGAAATATACAATGCCCAAAAACGTGAAGCACATTTGACCAAAAAGCAATATTCAACAAACTTAAGTCTATACATTGACACTAGAGAGTTATAGTTTTGGAAGAGTAAATTTCTTTCAAGAATCGCAACATTGATGACACAGAAATGATTCAGTTCACCGCCTTAAATCGCCCGCTATCTTATCCGTTATTCAAAGTGCGTGTACAAAAATTGCATTTATGTAAATTTGATCTTACTTACGGTTGCGGAGTTCCTCAAATAAGGTTCCTGGAAATGTCGTGCAGGTAACTGCGATCCTCCAGAAAAAGGGGCTGCACACGAGGCGCTTTAGTGTAGACAGTGAACCGTTGGTTAATTATTGGTAACGATACCCATGACCGTTAGAAGGTTATCTGTCGGGACCTTGCTAGAATAAAGTGTTGCATTATAAAGCGGCACATCCTCCAGAGCGAAAAAAGTCATTGTTATTTTCTGCTTGACAAACAGAAGTTCTCCGTTTTAGAAATTCACCCGGAAGAAGAAAGTATGAAAAACAAAAAGAAATAGGGCAATTTCCTTTCTTTTATTTAACATAGTACTTTTGAATGGAAATTTCAGTTGCACAAATATTTTATGTTTAGAGATAATTTTTTCTTTAACTTCACAGCTGTGCAAGACAATATCTCTATTAATATGTATTGAAAATATAAAAGTTTGACACGTTTGCTGCAAAAATAATTAAAAAAAGCAATTTTCCTCCTTAAAGGAATTTCTAAGAAATTTCTTTTACGGACCATCTACTTTCAAGAAGAACATCCGATTACACGCGCTATACCTAGGCAGAACAGAAAATCGCGATGACATCGAAATGACGAGAAGTTGGTCGAATCATGACGTCAAATGACTCAAGGCGAAAAGTGAGTTTTTATAGTCATTCCCTCGTCGTTTCGACATTATGATAATTTTCTGTTCTACTTCATCCGAATCATCCCGTGTCACGCGTAAAAAGGTGAGGAAGTAGAACAGAAGTAGAATAGAAATTCACAATGACGAGAAAATTATCTAGTTGTGATTGAAAAGTGAGTTTTTCAGTCACTTTCTTATCATTTTTATATCAATTTGACGTCATCGTGATTTTTTCTTTTACCTAAGGAACTTAGTCAAGAAGAGAACGAGAGAGGGAGAGAAAGGGAGAGGGACAAAAAGACAGATAGAGAGACAGAGAGAGAGAGAGAGACGAGATTCGTACGGTTTGTTATTGTGTCATGTATTTCCTTTCACATCGAGTGCACTGTATTACCGATATCGCTTTACAACTTTTCATACAAAAAGAATGATTCGATGATGAGCGCCGTGTCGCAGGCCCTCGCAGCGGGCATTCGCGCGGTGGCTTTTCGGCGCCCGGGAGCCGGATATTCTCCTCGAACGGCGGAATTCCGCAGCGCGGTTGTGCGTGTATCCAGACCTGGTACCTTCTCCGTTCCCTCGATCCCGATGTCGTGCTCACGCCAGTCGCTAACTCGATCGCCCTCTTATCAGTACACCCGTGCCTCGCGGGACACCGGTGCCTCCCCGGATCCCTTCCCGTTCCTTCCCTTCCCTTCCTCCATGTTAAATATATCATACAAAAATCTAAGACTATATATGCAAACGTGTCCTCTTAATCGTATCCTCAGTTATCATGTACGAACGTAATGTTAATGTGATACACGACGGCGCACCCCTGCCGCCATTGTTGCGCTCTCATGCGCGGGCCGTCTCTCCTCTTATCCGTCAATTTACAAAATTCGAGCCTACATCGACAGTCGACGAACACGGAAACGGCGGTGCTGGCGAGACGCGCGTTTCGGATTTTTGCGAGCTCGTCGTCGAGTCAGATGCGTTTTCATGTCCGCGCGCGCGGATCAAGACGCGACAGAAATCAGGAACTCGACCGATCTTATCATCGGTTCTAAGAATCTGTCACGGATTTCTATATAGCACCCTAGATCGTTGACACGCTATAGTTTGATGGATACAGACTGAGATGAAGTCAAGACGCCATATGCAAGGAGCTCACACGTACGATGCTTCGTGGACAAATGTTA